AAACAAGCGGCGAACGTGCCTGAGAGTTAACAGGAAAGAGCCCATTAAAACAAGCTCACGACACTGCAAATCTACTCAACCTGATTGATGTAAAGCCCCAGATTTGTGCGCAGTGCACACGTATGTAATTATGGAACTGTGCACTAAAAGGTTGGAAATCAAACCTTTGTTTGGAGTTACTCTAACCGGAATGATCGAAGAAGTAGTCTTCCAACTCATCCAAAACAGAGTACAATACTAATACTACCCTTCACAAGTTTAGGGTCGGAATACAGTTTAAAAGAGCTGTTTTCTATTTGAATATATTTTAAAATGTAATTTATTCCTGTGATGCAAAGCTGAATTTTCAGCATCATTACTCCAGTCTTCAGCGTCACATGATCCTTCTGAAATCATTCTAATATGCTGATTTGCTGCTCAAGAAACATTTATTATTATTTCCAATGTTGAAAAGAGTATTTTTCTTACAAAAACGCATCGCTCTGCTTCAGAAGGCCTTTAATAACCCCCTGGAGCCGTATGGATTACTTTTATGATGGATGGATGCACTTTTGTGGGCTTCAAAATCTTAGTTTCTATTCACTCCCATTATAAAGCTTGGAAGAGCCAGTCATATGAAAAAAAGTCATATACACCTATGGCTTGAGGGTGAGTTGGATTTATAAATCCAAGTCCTCTACACTTTTTTTACATTAAATAACCAATTTCACTTACACGTGAGATTTAACTAGAAGCAAAAGACCTAGCCCAAAAGCTACAACACACAAGCTTGAACCTATGAAAACTGACCATTAAAGATGTCACATGGAGTCATAACACCCTCTCTAACAGATTTAAGCATTTGTGTGCTTGCTCATCTGACCCGCCATCAATTGGCTCCTCTTAAATAAGACGTGAAGTGTCAACACTCAGGGTTAAAGCATCACGTGCCGCTCTTCAGCTTTGCCTTTCAATTCCTGCGAGGTCAAATGTTATGAGTTCTTTTGTGGATGTGGACAAGCAGAGGTAAAAAAGGAATAATATCAAGCAAAAATGAAGTCAGAATTGTTGCGTCAAAGGCCAAGTGTGGGCATTGTGTAAAACAAACGAAAAGGGAAAATTTGTTCCTTCCTAAATGTCTTCACATCCAGATGTTGGTTTCTGTGGACAAAGCTAAGTGTACCGTCTGACCAGCGCACTATCATTTGCAGAATACTTTAGAAGATTGTCTGTCCATAAGTTTCAACATGCTGATATTATTTGTATAAAAATGTGTCTATTGGGTGACATTTAGGTCAACATTACAAAAATAGTTTTAACAAGTCTCACAGGCAAAAAGGTACCAAAACATATGAATCTGGCCATAAAACCAAGCCAAGTGCGGATTACGGATGTCTTTCCTCAAAATGTATTATGTACTTTCTTAATAAAAGGGGCAGAAAATGTTTGAACTTGAATAATCTAATAACACAATGCATAAAGGCAAGCTTCAATTAACGGAAACATAACGGAGTTACTATATTTTCATCAGAAATTGAACCGGTAATCCTGAATCTTCCAAAAGCCTCAGACATATATTCCCTTTTCACTTGAGATCAAAGCAATGTGGTTTGCTTCATTTCATAGATCCGCGGAAAAGTGGTTAATTCATCCCTGCGCTGAGATCGCCCTCCGAAAACCCACAATCACAGCCAGTGCAGCGAAAGCCAAATAAACGTACTTACACACCACAAGCAAAACCACAAACTGCTTGTGGTTAACTAATAATAACCAGTTTGGCATGTGGCGTCCTACTGTGCGCAATTATGAGATCTGACTAAACCGCAATCTTAAGTGTTTAAGCAGCCAAAATATGATTAACGGTACCAGCTGCTGAAACGTACTTGAGTGTGACATTGATATTTACGTATTGTCTAAAACGAATGTATATGGTCCAAGGACACAATAAGCTTTTATAACAAATCAGCATGTATGAAAATGTATCCTTGCAACATTTCCTGTCTGTCTCTTACAGTGTGTATTGGGGCTGCACAATTAATCAGAAAAAAAAAAAAAATCACGTTCAATGAAACTTGATGCCAAAAGTCCAAGATTAAATATAAAAAGTTATCACACTTGTCACGTGTACACTTTTGAATGTCACCAAGTAAAGGTGGGTTTTTTTTATATGTTTAGTACATTTTTTGAATGTTGGATCTCAAGTTTTATTGAAATTATGCAATTTGCTACCTTAAATTTCGCTACCTTAAAAAGTCATTTCGACTTAAATGACATTAAACTGGCTTTAAAAAAAGTTGCAAATTGCAGTTAAAGTTAAAGCAATGTAAAAACATGTCATAACTTATTGATCATACCATTTTTTACAGTGTCATTTTTTGATTTGTCAATCATAGCCTTGAAAAAAAATACAAAAATATTGGAAAAAAATTAGGGCTGTCAAATGATTAATCACGATTAATCACATCCAAAGTAAAAGTTTGTTTACATAATATATGTGGGTGCACTGTGTATAATTATTTTGTGTATATATATATATATAAATACACACACATGCATGTATATTTAAGAAAAAAATATTATATAAAATATTTATATATAATATAAATTATATATAAATCTATATACAGCATATACATGAAAATATTTCTTAAATATATACAAGCATGTGTGTGTATTTATATATATAAAATAATTATACACAGTGCACCCACATATATTATGTAAAAAAAACTTTTATTTTGGATGTGATTAATCACGATTAATCATTTGACAGCTCTAAAAAAATACAATTATTATAAAATAATAATTCTAAATTTTGACCTTCATATATTAATCAATAATAGTCAATTATGAATGATCAATAATAATACAATATTATTACTATTCATAATTTGAACTAACAGCTGGGTATCAACTTTTCTAAACTTTTGCCACTCTAACAGACAACTATACCAGCATTATCAATAATTGTTCAGTTTATTGTAAAGTAGCATTTTTGAGTCCCTCTGAAATGTCCCATTGGTTTAGAATGATGGATTTTGATCAATAACTTCAATAATTTGAATCCTGCAATCATACCTCAAACAAACATGAGTTCTCAATGCAGAGTTTTTTCAAGATGCTAAAAGGTTAATAAATAAGGACTACAACCAAAATGATGTGATTGTGCATCCTTGATGAATCAGAAAACCACTGCATTCCTTCCAACTAACATAAATGCTTACAAATTCATATTTGAAGTATGACTGTATCAATTATGCTATTGTACAAATTGTCTCTCACGTACTTAATTTTACTCATTTAACCCGACATTATAAAAAATCATGACCACACAGGTCTGTTGACTCTCTTGGTGTGTTTGTTGTACAAGTCTTGCGAAAGCAAAGTGGATTTTTTAACACAGGAGAACAGAACATTTCCTTTGAACACTGTTTCTCGTCGCCCATTCACACAAGGGTTACATAACAGGACTAAGGCGTTCTTTCTTTTGCCTTTCCCTTCCAGATGCACTTTAGTCCTGCTGTAATGGGCTGGGGTGAATATAGGTCAGCAGGTTAGGAGTGTCTCAAAGTCAATCTCCTACTTTAAAATAAAATGGCACAGACTTGCCTAAAAACTGAGCCTCCCTATACCTGCCTCTTCTGACTGCTATTACATAACAGCACAGAGCTGGGAAAGTACCATGCAACAACAACGGTGAAACAACGTCCTTTTAAACGGCTAGAAAAAGAGAACGGATGGTTTATTACAGATTCATTAGGATTTAAATCATGCATCAAACTCATTTGTGCTATGCAACGTCATTTCTGCACATTTTCTTATTGACGACAAACATGAATAATTAATACGTAAGGAAATACGCACAGGCTCAACTCGCTCCACAGTCCAGCGGTAACATTTTCGTCTAGAAAGCAAGTGGACCCGAGTTCGAATCCAGAACTTGCATAGAATTTTGCTTAATAAACCAAGCGAAAACAAAACGACATTACGCAAAGCATCGCTACACACATTTGTCACAGTGCAATCATACAAAACACAATAATCACAGACTTCAACGTTACAGATATTGAATGATTTTTTTTTTCCATCTGCTCTGTTTATGGCAAAACTTGTTACATAACCAGCTTACATTCCACATTCAACATATTAGCCTCTAAATATACCCTTCAGCGCGACATATAACAACCCGAAAACAGATTCACAATGTTTCTTTACACTGTGTCATGTCACTTGTTCACTTTTTTGTCTGATACGTTTTGCACTGAACTTGGATGAGTTGAATAGAGACACTGAAGGGGGAGTGGCTAGAAATCTACTGTCTGCACTGTAAATCACAAGTATTTAGACGTAGATTCATTAAAATGAGATATTAAAATCATAACGGGAAGTTAAAATGCCTTATATTATACATGCAAATTGATAGGCATTTAAGGTCAGCATCAGAAAACGTGCAATGGGCAAGTAGAGGCATGCTGACAACCAATGAATGAAACCTAAAAATATTTATAACGCTTAAAAAAAATAAACATGCATCTAATAAAAACACTGCGCGAGTGCGCGTGTCAAATTCTACCATTGCCTCAGTCTCATTTAAACAGTCTAGTGCATAAGTTCGACTTGTTATCATGCACATTAGCTACACATGTCTTTGTGTTATTTTACACCATCATTTAAATCCAAAATGAACTTTCGTATTGTCAAATTTAGATTGTGTTGATAAACGAATCTGATTTTTTATTTTAGTCTTCAGTGTCAGTGCTGTCATACATCCAACAATGGCAGGCTCATTCGGTAACAAAAACAGCAAGTCTAAAAGCATCTCAATTCTGATATATTTCATTAAAAAAAATGCCGTTTCTTCTAATTCACCACGCGCTTTCCCAGTGAAACAAACGCACTGGAATCATTTTTACGCGGCGCGCGCGCCATTCAAGTTGAAATGAATTCACTTTGAAGTTTTTGCTCATCAATACTACGGAGAATCAATGTCGTATCGATTCCAAATAATCAATATCTCTCACCTCTGTTGGTGCTGGAGCAGCTCTGCCTGCGCACCGGGGCTTGGTGCTCAGCTTTGCGGAGGGTCTCCAGGTTTACCGGGGTTTCCCTGACCGGGGTAACCGGCTCTGAGACGCCGTTGCCCGGGTCGCTCGCTGGATCTGGAGGGGACTCCATGTTGTGCTTTCTTTTGGAGCTATTGCTGCTGGTGTATCACGATGCGCCGCGATGCGACTCAGAGCTCAGAGGTTTGGTGTAGCTTTGTATTTTTCTAGCAGAAGTAAGAAATGTTGAACAGGCGAGTGTGTAGACAGACAGAGGTGGGTGTGTGTGTGTTTGATTGTCCACTGGCAGCGCTAGAGAGGAGCTCCGGTGCAGCCGCTCAACAGGGAGACACTGTCAATAGCCGATGAATGGATGTGTGTGAGACCTATTAACAGTGGAACTTTCATGTCTTTGCCCATGTTCTAATGATACAGCCGCACTTTGTCCGATATGCGACACACAATATGAGATTTATAAGGCCACATACTGCGATATTGCACAGAGGACATTCTGACATTCTTTTTATAATCCCTGCACGTTTGGTTTATGAGCTGAGGCAAAAAGTAGGCTATGCATGAGAGCTGATATACACACACATCAAGACACTACTAGCAAATTACATACTACCAAAACTAGTTACTACTTATTACATTTGGTTGCTCTGTCTATATTAATATCTAAATATTTTATCAATTGTATTTCTTTATCAATTCCATATCCACACTTGAAAACATACTAATTTTAAGTCCCTCTTTTTTAAGACGTAAAATAATAGACACAAAATCAAAATGTGTTCACAAAACAAACAAAAATGTACAAACTATTGTAGGCTACTTTGCATACCATCTTTTTTTATATTCTTTACTTTTGTATTTTTCCTTAATCGTTTGAGTTTATGTTAATGAAAACATGCATTTTTATGCCCTGTTTTTGTCTGTGAACCGTGTACAGTAAATTCATGCAAATATGTTCATCATCACTGTTTATTGCATCTTTTAGCAACTAATGTAAGATTTATACATTACATATCAAGGTTTGGCAGCATAAATGCCTATATTATAATTTCTAAAGTAGCCTACCATGTGTTTTAAATGGTTCTGAATCCTGGAGACAAAATAGGCCTCTCTCTCTCTCTGTGTGTGTGTGTGTGTGTGTGTGTGTGTGTGTGTTACTTGGTCTAAGAAATTAATCTTAAGGTAATTATTATATTCCTCCCTTGCATATTAAAGGGTTAATGAAGATTCAAGATATTTATTTGATCATTCTGATGATGCATAGGCCTTGCTATTATGAATGACCCAAATACAGCACATATAATGTGCTAATATGAAATTATTGTAATTGCACATATCCACAAGTTACACCTCATACTACATAAACTTGCATTTACCAACACATTCAGCTTGTGCACAGACTAAAATAACTAAAGTGTCACTCTGGCTGTGTTTGTTTAATCAGTGTAAGAGCGCAGTAGATTAAGTTGGTCTGAGCTCAGTTGATCAAAGCCTTAACACCCTTCGCCTTCAGGGAAAGCAAGGTTTTATAGCAGCATGTTAAGGGCGTGTTTTGATACTAAACAATAGCAAACTTGAGGGGCCCTTATTAATGAAATATTTCGTTTGGTGTCACAGCAGTCGCGAGCTCTCCCTGCGGCGTTATAAACAGCATGCATGACGCACGTGATCAGTGCGGAAGAGCCACGCCCCCTCAGAGAGCTGCACGTGGACTTTGGCATGGTCTTAAACAAGTCAAGTTCAGTTCACCGCGTGCACGAGTACGTCGAAGTGGTGACGTTTAGCTGAGCGGTCAGAAAGGAATGGTAACACTTCACAATGAGGTCTCATTTGTTTACATTAAGTGTTAACTTATGTAAGCTAACAATGAGCAATATTTGTTAACAGCATTTATTAACTTTTTTAATGTTAGTTGATAAAAATGTTCAAGGTAGTTTATAGAGCATTAACCAAAACAAACAGGAAAAGTCGAGAGATAGGCTACACCTATGTAGAAAATGCTGAGATTAACATGAACTAAGATGGATGCTGTAGAGTAGTGTTCTAGTTCATGTTAACTAGTTAACAAATGAAACCTTCTTGTAAAGTGTTAGCAAAGTAATTAATCACATATCGCATAGCCTATCATGAGATCCAGCATAACAAAAAATGTTTCTGGAACAAATCGCATTCCCTGCCTTTAACTATGGATACAGCTTAGCCTGAAAACTTCCATATACTTTGGCTCAAAAAAGTATTTAGACACTCATGCCACATTAAAAATATATGAATGTCTTTGCAATATAACATAATATGAAACTAAGTGTCATTAAGCTAGTCATTTTACAAAAATACATATTTTAGGTTTCAAATTATAATAGAAGTGTTTGGAAGCGTTCTTGTGAAATGTTGGTGCAACATGTTCATAGTCAATTCGATGAACTCATTTTTTTAGGACACCTGTGTCTGTGTGAACTTTATGTCCTCTAAAAATCCCTTCAGGACCAGTTGGTTAAGAGTCATTTCTCAAACGTCCCGGAAATAAGAAGTTAGTTCTAAGAAAAGCTTTAGCATTAAAGTATCATATTGAAGCGTGTCCAAAAAAATTTGTTGGGGCCACTTTCATCAATCTTTCATCATAGATAAACATCTGATGGTCCACTGAGGCGAAGATGTTTTTTACTACACTGGATGTCCAAACTTGAATTGCTTACATCAGCAAGAGTTTCATTAATTTTGAGTCTGCATCATGATGACAGAATTTTCCTGTCAGAATCCATTTGGAAGAATTGATGATATATCTATAAAGGTTCTGTGCATGAAATTACATGAATAAAGTCAACTTAAAGTGATTTTGGTCAAACTAGAACGATATGTTAAAGTTATATTTTTGCGCATCTACAAAAAGTTTTGACAGGTTAAAATAACTCTACACAATTTGTCTGCTTATCAGCTTATTTCAGCATCATAACTATCTGTGCTATGAATCTTTTTTTCCGATTTGATCAGTTGTTTCTGGCTAGGTTTGAGATGGTGTGTTTACACTGACGATGGCCTCTAGCCATGTTATAATCCATCTTCAAACTGTACGGCGAGATCAAACTTCAAGCAATGGCAAGACATCAAGAGCCCCTCCAACGTTTGACTGTTTTCAGCCACTTCATTTTCACAATAAGGAATCGACTTTGACATGCTACAGTAGCTTTTCTTTTTTTAAATTGTTCATCTCAGGGAGAAGACAATTTCTTGTTGTGCTTTTCTCGACATAATGGCAACGGCAGTTATTTTAGTAGGGAATGGATTCAGGGAGAATAAATAACAGGGATCTTACTTGAAAAAAGAGAGTAAAAACACTGTATAAATGAAGCACAGCCATTAAAGAATGTAGAATTGCACGGTATAATCTTTATACACAAAAATATGAACAAAAAACAAACTGTATTTAATCATTTTAAATCTATTTTTTGCCTAAATAATAAGTTTGTGCTTTATAATAAATAAGAATATATATAAAATGTATATTAAAAATTTAATTTGTTTAAAATGCATATACTATTTAATATTACTTTACTTATTAATTTATTTCAATATTTAATTTTAAATCTAACATTCTTTTTATGAAATACCTTGCCTATAACAAGTTTGGGCCTTATAATAAATAAATAAAAATATATCAAATGTAATTAAATATGTATACAATATAAACTATATATATATATATATATTGTATATTATTTTAGAATACATTACATATTAATTTATAACAATATATTTAATTTTAAATCGAAAATTCTTTTTGTAAACTTCTTTGCCTAAATAACGAGTTTGTATATATATATATATACACGTATATAATGTGTGTAAATAAAATAAGTATATTGAAAAATACCATATATTTATTTTAGTCTATTATTTTATATTACTTTTCATATAAATGTATATTAATATATATATATCCGCCTATATATATCATTTTAAATCTAACAATTTTTAATTAACTGCTTTGCCTAAATAATGGATTTGTGCTTAATAATATATAATATTATATAAAATAAAATGTAAATACAAAATGTATATGAAAAAATACAGCAAGAAACATAATTATTAAATAATTATTTTAGAAGAATAACTGTATAATTTATTTCATATTACTTTACTACATACATTTGTACTAATATATTATAAATTAAAATATGTACAATGTAATTTACATAGTATAAAATAATATATACATTTAAATATGTTTTTTATATTTTACACAATATTTAATGTTATATTAATTTTATATTAAGTTAATTTATTATATATTACACATTATGTTATATATTTATATATTTGTTTGAAATTCTATTTTAAAAAATTTGGGGGGGGGGGGGCTTATGAATTCTGTGACAGTTTTTTTTTTTTTTTTTTTTTTTTTAGTTATGGCTGATCTGTATGGCCAGTCATTTGTTATTTAAAAGTGAAAGTCTGCGTTTTAATCAAAAAATCATTCTGAATTAGTTCAGCCTGAAGCTTTTGTTGTGCATCTGTCATCAGAGTTTTATTATCCTTTTTTCTGCTATTATTATTTCGCATTACTAGACGACTATTATCTAATCTTTGTGTATTTCCCTGATATCATCTCTACATACAGTAGTCTGCTTGGCCTCTTGACTTCAGGTCCCGTGATTTAAAAGCGTTTTATGATGTCTGGGTGTTCCTCGCTATGATTGCTAACATGTTTTCTCATTTACTCTTTATAACAAGCCTGTCAGGCAAATAATGTCTCTCATTTCTCCTCATTTTCGAGATGATAGTCAGTTCAGCAGTGATGAAAGATAAATCTGCTGTGTTTCTGTGTGTAATTGCACTTCTACGGTATGAAAAGATAAAATAAGATGAAATAAGTTGATCTTATGATGTTTACTGTACTGTAAAAGGAAGCGATACCGAACAACATTGACGAAACGCGTTTGTCTGTTAAATTTGCTTAACTAATTTTGATGAGTTAAAGCAATGTAAAAACATATGTTGTTAGCTTATTGCTCATTTGATTTTTGATAACTTTCAACAAGTATTGATTTTGTCAATTGTGCTATTTTACTCCCATAATGTGATGTATTTTCTATAACAAGATATTAAAATGTTGGATGTACTTTATATTATCAATCAGGAATTGTTTGGGGGGAAATAAACATTATTATTGTATTGAATTTATGATTTATAATAGAAGTACAAACTGGTCTTGTTGCTGTCATATTAAATTGAAATGAGCTAGTTGCAAGACTGTCTGACAAATCAAAACATGGTTGCACTTAAGGTTGTGTAATTTGGG